ATGTCGCCCAAAGTTGAAGTTTTGATAAAAAATAGGTCATATTCGGAAGGACGCAGTGGCAACATTTTCAAAAAATAGGACAAGTTTTTTACGCCAAAGCGTTCTGCGTAAAGATACCTTTTAGAAAACTATAAAATTGTTATATGTTCTTAAAGAAAATTTTATTTTATTAATAAAAGATTTAAGACACATTTTTGGCAAAAATCTAAAATTTTTTGAATTTTTAAATTAAAAAACGTATATTTTTGGATCTGTAAATGATATTGATCTGAAATTTTTTGTATATTATTGGAAATTTTGTTGTCTAACTAACAAGAAAAAATTGAGTCCAAATTTTATCCCGATCGGATCAGCCGTTTAGAAATGCCAGATTTATTTTCAAAAAATTTCGATTCTGCCCCACTGTGCGATGCCACATTTGTATGCAGAATAAAAACTACTGAACAAAAACCGCTTCTAAAATAGGGAAAATAATATAATCATATTACATTTTCACTTAAATTCGAATTTTAAATCGACTGTGGTTCCTACCTTTAACACCGTAATCACTCATATTTTCCATACAAATCGAGTTTTATATCAAAAATAAAAAAATTAAATGTATTGTTAATCGAGATAACAATAAAAATCTATGATCAGGTAAATATGCCATCAAAAAATGATCTTAATATAAATTCGACTGCCATTTTTCAAATGCAGCTCAAATCTAAAAAACCATGAAGATATGTATTTGACTACTCATTAGAGTGTCCCGAAAGACAGCACTTTTGCAAATCTTAAATAGGTAGACATCTCAAACGATGCATAGATTCATATAAAATTTGGATAAATTGATCTTTTGATATCTGTAACGAAGTTCCTCGTTACATAATATAATTCTCATCATATTATATATTTTATATTAAATTTGTTATATTCAACTATTACAATAATTATTTGATTAGTTATATTGGTATTGTTTTGTTACTATTATCATTATTATTATTAGTATTATGGCAATGAATATTATTATTTTGTTACTATTATCATAATTATTATTATTATTATTATTATTATTATTATTATTATTATTATTATTATTATTATTATTATTATTATTATTATTATTATTATTATTATTATTATTATTATTATTATTATTATTATTATTATTATTATTATTATTATTATTATTATTATTATTATTATTATTATTATTATTATTATTATTATTATTATTATTATTATTATTATTACCATTGCACTTAACTTAGGTGAATTGTTATGGGGAATGAATGCATATATTTGTTTATGTTATAAGAGAAAGAGAGAGAGAGCAAATATTATAAGAGATTGGAACACTGATACATGTAAGCAAATAATTTACTCTTGCAAATAATTATCATCGTCTTCCCGGTCATAATGCTAGTTAGTGAAAGAGTTCTACTACAGATTCAGTTGGGCTTGATCTGTCAAGGTGTTCGGACAGCTAATACAAGTATGAAACAGCTTTGTTAGCAGCCGTTCACACTGACAGAAATTCCCCAATTCAATGTTGTAGTGCAGAGGGTTACTACTGGTTTATACAGCCATAGTGCCCAGGCATACTAGTAGTAGAGCACAGGGAATACACTGGTATTAACTGCCATTTATCCCAGGCGTAGTGGTACTAAATACACTAACAACCTCATACAAATTTTTGACACAAAAAGTTCACTGTCGAAAGTAAGAAGGCCTGTTCTGGTCGACACGTGAAGCACAAAACACGTTGTACGGGTACTCTGCGTCACTCAGTTCTCGGGTATATCATTCAGTTCTCTAGTGTATCCTTTTGCTGTAATCCTTGTTTAAGAAAACCAAATATTTTGAATTGAATAAAAATTGTTAATTTATAAAATCGAAGGACAACTGGCATTATTTAATTAGAATTCGACCCCTGGATTAGCTGAGTCTCACTCTGGTAAAACTGTTATATATCTTTTTATATTTTTTAAAATTATCAACCAAAAATTCTGCACAACTTTTTCTGTATGTAGTGCCGTATTTATTCTAAGCTTTTCAAATTAAATAATAATTTTGAATAACTTCAGCACACATTTTCCATTTACCATTTATAATAATAAGTAAAATTATTTGGGTATCTGCTTTGTACATCTGACGATATTCTTCATATTTTTTAGATCAGAAAAAAACCTAATTTTATTATTTTTAAAGGAATTTGAAATCTTCCAAATTTTTCATAATTTTGTGCAGAATGCTTCATGATCGTTTCAGAGTTTCTTCAATTGCCCGTACTTTTTCAAATAGAAAGAAAATCCCTTGAAATTTTGTTCCCTACTAGTGATTGAGAATGCTGGTTTCAGTATAATTTCTAAAAAAAAAGTTTCCTAAATGTTTCTACAAATTGGTCAAAATTTCCTAATTAAAGCTCATTTTCAATTTGTAAATTTTTAAGGGATATTTTTGTCCAGAAATTGAGTTTAAGTATTAAACAAAATGCAGAAAAATATAATAATTTTTTATCGTTATAAGCTAAATTTTGACATCTATTAAAAAAAGTATAGTCATTATAGACAGAATAATTTTATTTTAGAAGAAAGCCGGGCAACGCCGGGTCCGCGCAGCTAGTTTCTTAGTATATTGTATTTTCCATCTTCACGCAAATAAATTTGTCAGTTTTCAAGCTTGAAGTTTTACGTACGTATTTTTTAAATTAATAAAATACCCCGAAGACTTTTGCCTCTTTACAGCAGGGGCACTACAATTCAAAGTACGGTGTGACATAATTTAAACTTAACAGTTCTTTTAATCTACTGCACATGGAAAAAATAAAACAAATCATTTGAAAGTGTCCTTAGTTCCCTACCAGTGATTGAAAAGCTGATTTCAGTATAATTTCTCAAAAAAAGTTGTTTAAATTTTTCTACAAATTAGTAAAAACTTCCTAATTTAATCTAATTTCAATTTCTAAAGTTTTAAGGACTTTTTGGTCGTTAAAAGGATTAAGGATTAAAAAAAGACAGAAAAATAAAATAACTATTTTATCGTTATAAGATAAATTTTGATATCTATTTCAAAAAAAGTCACTACAGATAGATAAATATTCTCTTTACTTGTTGAAGAAACCCTCGGCCATATTTACCAAAACTGACTGGAATTTATCGCATATAGTCCGATAATTAAAATAGAGTGAAAAAAGCTAAATTAACCCTTTGAGACGTTTGGTAACAATTTAACACCAAAGTTCAAAAATTCGAAAAACACTATCTATTTGAATAATGTTCTATATAATTAGAGGAACAGAAATAAAACAAACAAGCCAGAGTGCTATGTTCGGCTGTGCCGAATCTTAAATATCCTCCACCAGCAAGCTACTCTTTATTAAACACATTTAAATATCTAATTTTTAGATAACTTGACAAAATTGTTGTTTTATCCCGATGACTTTGATTGTCAATGTGCGTTTAAGTAATTTTCGGAAATGATCCTTATATGGGAGTTGTGACCAATTATGGACCGATCAAGAAAAATTTCGTATAATGATTTATATGCAAAAAAATAAGTTTAAATCGAATATTACTCCAATAGATTTATTAATTAATAAAATATGTGCGTTTAACTGATTTTCGGAAGTGGACCTTATATACGACCAATAATGGACCGATCCGGGGAAAAATTGGTATTATGATTTATATGTGCACATATGTAATATATTCAGGTCGAACTTTATACCAATAGCTTTATTTATCAATGCAACATATGCGTTTAAGTTATTTTCGGAAGTGGACCTTATATGGGGGCTATGACCAAATATGGTCCTATCGGAAAAAAATTTCGTAGAGTGATTGATATATTTGTGACACATATTTGTGTCAAATTTTTTCAAGATACCTTCATTTGACAATGAAATATGCGCGTTTAAGTGATTTTCGGAAGTGGGCCTTATATGGGAGCTACGACTAATAATGGACCGATCCGAAAAGAAATTTGGTAGAATGATTTGTATGTACACAAAACATATTCAGCTCGAATTTTATCACAAAAGCTTTATTTATCAATGCGTGGTAAGTTTTTGCCTCCAATGTCATGACCGTGTTAAAATTATGAGTTAAAATGCTATTGAAGAAGTAGTGAAAAGTTTTAACTCATTACTTTTCAATATAAGTTTTTGCTGGGTAATGGTAGGTTTTTATATATTCACAATTCATTTATATGTATAAATTATATTTAGATAAAACTTATTTCTATATAAGTGGTTAATAATATCAGTTGTTCATTAATTCATTACATTCGAAAAAAATATTACCACAAAACTTTTGTTCAAATTGTTGCAATAAAAATATTCAATTTCAAGCCAAGTAACCATTGAATTTTCGAAGCTCTATTAATATATATGATCAGAAATATTATCAAAATTGTTGGTGTAAAATTTTAGGCATTTATCTCTAACAGATAAAATGTTACAGATTTATGATCAGAAAACGACAAAAATTTCCCACTATGCGGCCATTGGAAAAATTAAACTTTTTTTGACCATAGCTGAGAACAAGTTTGCGTTATCTTATAAGGACAAAAACTAATATTCGAGTAATTATAGATATATCTTAAGTAACAAAATGGTTTTTTAGAATATATCCCAAAAAGGTAACTTTTAAATTTTTCAAGCAATTTTTGTGTTTCCAAAATGCTTATTCTGTGCACATTACGATTCCTTTACAATAGAGTGCAAAATTTATTACTTAATAGCCAAATTTGAGCAAATACTGAAAAACATCGATGTTTTCCCCTTGTAAATGCACTTGGAAACTTTAGAGCCGCTGCGGCACCTGTTAACGTTATCCTATCAGCCTAATTTTTTTGTATGGCATAGTTTTATAATCCAATGAACAATTCTAGAGGGGGGACGGGCAAAATTCTCAACTTTGTTTTTGGAGCACTCTAATGTACATATATTATGCAGTTGAATCTAGTAGTTTTAAATTTTGACCCTTCCATTTATATGTTTTTCTTTTTTTTTTTAGGAAGATACTGTAATTTATATCTAGGTGATAATGCTTTCACCAAAAGCAAATATACATTGTTCCAATTTGAGCAATTGTGAAACGGAACTTCCAGATCTACAACAACATCTTCATAGACACCCTGTAGTGAACGGAAATAGTCACTCCCGTGTGCACAATGAGCAAAAATTTCAACAGTCACAAAGTCAACATTTGTCTTCAAATATCAATAGAAGAGGAAGTTCGAGTAACGCCTTGCCGCCACACATGACAACTTTGTCGAGCAGTAGCAGTGTAACGAATTCAACATTGCGTCGCAAATCATCATCGTGCTATCAACAACAATTACTTAGCACCAATGCTATAAATTGCAGTACAAATACATTGAATGACTGCAACAACGATATTTCTTTGGCACGATATAGCCCACACCCAAATGATTTGTTTTTGCAACATCAGCTTTATCATCAGCATAGGAAGCCCAGTTTACAGCCTATTGAACGATTTGATGATTCATTGGCATGTTGTTTACCACCACCTTCACCAGCGCCGAACAGTGACCGTTTTATTGAAGGCACATGTGTAATATCACCACCAAGTGGGGGTGGTCCTGGTCAAACCGAAGGACAGCATCCATCACAAACACAACATCAGCAACAGACACTTTCTTCTTCTACGTCAAACTCTTCGATATCTACTGGCGTTGGTAGTTCGTCGTCTTCGTCAACATGCGCATTTCAACCAGCACCCAGTCATCATAGTCTTAAATACAGTGCAAATCAATCAATAAATGCTATGCAACGTTCAATTTCGCCAAGTACTACTCGTTTTCGAATAAATAATGATCGTTATCGTGACATAAGCTCAGCAAATTCCTCGCCATCTGTTAACACTGCCCCGGGGTCTAGTTCGGTTGTTATGCCTTCATCGACTCGGTTTGTGAATTTATCTTCACATTTTCCCTACCAAAACTGTACTACGCCTTCGTTAGTGTCAACAGACACATATTCCTACTTGGCTTCAACTGTTCATACACCTGTCAAGCGCTATGTACCAACTCCACCTCCTCCAAATCAGTTGTATGTATCGTCTGATCAACATCATACCCATCAGCAAATAAACATACAAACACCGACACAAATACCAGCAAATTCAGCAGCAATTACATCAAAAAGTAGTAGTTCAATAAATACAAGTACAGGATCTTCAGTGGGGACTTCAACTACAATGCCATATCGGGTGCAAGCGATTAAATGCTGTGGACCAGACCAGGCGAACGATCCGCAAGCTGCATTAAATTTAAATCAGTCAAACGACTATTACAGCTCATCGCCCCGATTGCGCAATTCATATAATTGCAATAAAACTGCTGGTAAAGATTCCTCGATGATGGTGAACTTTAATGAATCACAAACAGCTCAGCAAGCAATTAGTTCGAAAAGTTCAAATATGATGGCTTCTCAGAACAGTAGCTCTACTACACAAACACATATGGTAGCAACTATAATGGGATGCGGTAATGGTGGGATAAGTTCACCCCCATCAAATCTAAACTCAAGGCCACAAACATATACATCTCGAAATGGACTTTGCTCCGCTTTAAATGACCTGCAAGAGCCAATGTCCTTGAATTCAACTATTACCAGTATGAATGATGTAAGTCAGTCTACAACCTGTCCAAATGTATTAAGAAGTGAAGAAAATTCCACATCTGCCGGTATTTCAATTGGATCTGGAACATCATCGACGTGTTTGCATTGCAAAACGGTACGACGAACTACCGGCGTTCATCAGACAACGCAAACAACAGGGCCTATTAGTCCGGTGCCACAAATGGCTCCTCTGATTACTACAAACAATAATAGTAGCAACAACGCCAATCAAGGATTAAGCAATGAACAAATGACCAACATAACAATGACATTAACACCCACCCCAACGGAGTCCTCTAACCATATAACTCCAATAACTCCTCCAACAAATTCTATGACTCCCTCAAACCGTTTACTTTACAAAAAGCTGGATATTTCGCCGGACCAAATGTTCCCAACTCAACTGAAGGCCATTAGTAACAACAATCAAATAGTACAGCCTCATATAAATGAACCAAATCTGTCACAATCTTCAAATTTGGAACATTTTTTACCAACTTCGCGCACCTTAAACCAACAACAACTTCCATCGAATCAGCCAATATCGCAACCAGCAAACAGTACTTTGCAACAACAGCAACGCTACTCCTGTAAAAAACGTTTCACTCAGTACATGCGGAGGGAAGTGTTGCGATTTTTCGGTATCGAACCATCTACCGAGGCTGAGGACTATGGTTTGTGGCAAGGCCGACAAAGGCGACTGGCTTTACGACGTTTTGGCAGCCTTAAAACCGAAAGTGAACTACAGGTAATGTGAAAATATAATTACAAAAAAATTCCCTCTAAATTTCTAATGGTGAAATTAAAAAATACGCAGAGCTTTTTTAGATCTTAATTCTTGTTCTAACCATACTTCCTTAAAAGATTGTCTACAAAGGCCTCTGTTGTCGAAACAAGTTCTATAAGCATGAATATTATGTACAAAGGAAATATTATTTAGTAACTTCTACATTTTAATTATGGCCACCTTAAAGTATATATATACATTAGGATAGCCCCAAAAGGAAAATTGCTAATATTCCCGCCGGAAATGAAAACTTTTTTCATTGTAACATAAATAGAACTCATATTTTCCATACAAATCGATTTTTATACCCTTTGTAATTCCGTGTGTAACACCAAGAAATATTCATTTAAGACCCAACATAGTATATATATTCTGGGTCCTTATGAAATTCTGAGTCGATTTAGCTATGTCCGTCTGTCTGCCTAAAACACGCTCACGTTAAAACTAAGCAAAGGAAATCAACCACATTCACCCAAAATATTTATTATTATCCTAAGCAGTTCGGTATTGAAAATCAGCAAAATCGGTTCACAACGTAATAACTTATGAGTAAAAATTTCAGACTAGCTCGAAAAAAATTACTTTTTTTTCCTAATTCTTTTGAAGTTTTCTCAGAAACTACCAAAGATATTGCGATGAATTTTGTCACACATTAGTCATCCTACCAAATTTTTTGCGGATCGGTCCATTATTGGTTATAGCTCCCATATAAGGCCCACTTCCGAAAATCACTTGTCAAATAAAGGTATCTTGATAAAATTCGACACAAATAATTTTTGTCTAAATATGAATCACTCTATGAAAAGCTTTTCCGGATAGGCCCATAATTGGTCATAGCTCTCATATAAGGTCCATTTACGAAAATCACTTAAACGCATATATTTCTTTGAATAATAAAGCTATCGGGATAAAGTACGACTAGAATATGTTTTGTGAGCATATAAATCATTCTACGGAATTTTTTCCGGATCGGTCCATAAGTTGTCTTGGTTTTAAGGTTTACTTCTGAAAATCACTTAATACCACTAAATTCGTTATTAAATGATTATATCCGGATAAAATTCGACAAGAATATGTTCTGTGTATAGATATATCATTATATTAAAATGTTTTCGAACTGGCCTATTAATATAAATTTTTCTGGACTTAGTTAAAATTAGATTGATATATGCATATCAATACGGGAACAACAATTTTGCCAAGTTATCTAAAAATTACGTAGTTAAATGGGTTTTAATTAAAAATATTTTGCTGGTGGAGGGTATTTAAGATTCGGCACAGCCGAATATAGCACTCTAACTTGTTAAATTTAAAATAATTAAAATACAAATTAAAGTGTTTAAAATAAACAAACAACAATGTCGGAAGATAGTTTTCAGTAAACAATTTGTACAGTGTGTGGTAGTTACTGTTGTATACAATACCACAACAATTTAAAAAATAAATCGTATAGTAACTTTTGAAATTATACACATATAAACAAAATAACAATATATATATAAATAATAATATCAGAAATCACATTAAGACAACTTTCGAAACAAATTAAAACACTTGAAAGTAAGATCGAAAAGCTTCAAAGTAAGAGAAACATATATCTATCACGTGATTCGACATCATTCAGAAGCAATAGATCCGATTCTCGCAAACGAAAATGGTGTTGGTATCATCGTCGTTTTGGAGAAAGATTCACAAATGTACTTCGCCATGTTCATATGCAAAAAACTAAATGGAGTTTCAGTAACGGCCACTGAAATTCCTATTGGCGATGGGCGCCTATTCGTAAAAGACAGAAATTCTAAATTATCCTTTTTGATAGACACGGACGCTGCAATATCAGGTTTGCCTTCAAAAAACTTTAATAAAAAAAACAAGTAAGAAAGTATAGTCGGGCGTGACCGACCATATGATACCCTACACCAGTTATGAATATTAAATGTGATTTAGTTTTCATAATAATTTTTTATTACCTTGTTCCGATACATTTAAGCAATTTATGGATTAAAAACTAATTTTCTGAAAGAAGCTTTATATGGGGGCTAGGGGCAAATATGGACCAAGCCTGATAAAATTTTGTGAATATATTTATTTTGACATAATATTTTATTGTGCTTAATTTCATCGCGATATTTGTGTTTATAAGTTAATTTTGGACATTCAAGTAATTTTCTGAAGGGGACTTGGTATGGGAGCTAGGGTCAAATGAGGCCCGATCTCTATGAAATTTGGCAAGGTCATCAAGGCTTGTATAAAACTTAGTTGTGCCGCTTTTTATCAATATACAGGTATATTTAACATAATTATGAGCTCAGAAGCCCTTTTCGGGGGGTTCTGTTGTATGGGGGCTAGGTGAAATAATGGACCGATTTTAACCATTTTCAATAGGCTTCGTCCTTGGAGTATGTGCCAAATTTCATCCAATTATCTTGAAAATTGCGACCTGTACCTTTCGCACAAGGTTTACATGGACAACCAGCCAGCCAGACGGACGGACAGACGGACATAGCTTAATCGACTCAGAAATCGATTCTAAGCCGATTGGTATACTTTAAGGTGGGTATAGGACGAATATTTTTGTACGTTACAAACATCAGCACAAACCCAATATACCCTCCCACTAAAGTGGTGTAGGGTATAATAATACTATGTACGAACCAAGGTTTTCACTTTATGCTGCTAATGGTAGTATTATAAAAACCTGTGGAACACATATCATTGAATTAGACTTTGGTCTTCGACGTCCTTTTGTTTTGAAATTTATTATAGCAGAAGTTAGTAAACCTATTATAGATTCAGATTTCCTCAAGCATTTTGATCTTTTACCAGATCTTAAGAATTTCACAATAGTGGATAGAAAAACATTTTAAGTGTACCCGCAAAAATATCATTAGAACCGTCACTTTAACTTAATATCATTAAAGCCTCAATCGAATACCACAAATTACTTGAGAAATATCCTGCACTATATTCAGTTAACCGAATCTCAAAAATACCTCGCAACTTTCAAAATTTTCATCATATTGGTACAAATGGTCCGCCAGTAAAAGCTAAAGTTCGTAGATTAGACCCTAAGCGTTTAGCTTGTGCAAAAAATGAATTTAAATATCTTCTTGATAACGGAGTTGTAAGACCATCAAAAAGTTGTTTGACCAACAACTCCATATGGTACCAAAATCAAATAACGAATGGCGGCCATGTGGCGATTATAGAGCTTTAATTCGCATAACTATACCACACCGATACCATATACCATTTGTGACAGATTTCACATCTAATTTAGCAGGTAATAATACATTTTCCAAACTCGATTTAATCAAGGCATATCTGATATAGAAAAAAACTGAATTGTGACACGTTTCGGACTATTTGTATACCTTAAAATGCCATTCGGTTTACGTAATTCTGCTCAGAGCTTCCAAAGGTGGATGGACAATATTTGTCGTAATTTAAATTTCGTATACGTATACATTGACGATGTTCTAATAGCGTCAAGTTTAAAAGAAGAGCACTTAAACCCATGCAATCAAAAATTAAAACAATTCTAGAGACTCCAAAACCATATACTTTGGAACAACTTCGTCGGTTTCTTGCAACGACCAATTACTATCGAAGATTTATGATACATGCAGCACACCACCAAATTAAATTGAATGAATTTCTAAAAGGATGTAAAAGAAGGATAAAAGACAAATTAAATGGACTCCTGAGACAGAAGAAGCATTTAAAATAATAAAGAAGTAAGAAAGTATAGTCGGGCGGGGCCGACCATATGATACCCTACACCAGTTATGAATAATAAATGTGATTTATTTTTCATAATAAAGCATTTATCTTCAATATTCCCTTGTTCCGATGCATTTAAGCAATTTATGGATGAAAAACTAATTTTCTGAAAGAGGCTTTATATGGGTTCTAGGGGCAAATATGGACCAAGCCCGATAAAATTTTGTGAATATATTTATATTTACATAATATTTTATTGTGCTGAATTTCATCGCGATATTTGTGTTTATAAGTTAATTTGGGATATTCAAGTAATTTTCTGAAGGGGACTTTGTATGGGAGCTAGGGTCAAATGGCCCGATCTTTATGAAATTTGGCAGGGTCATCAAGACTTCTATAAAACTTAGTTGTGCCGTATTTTATCGATATATCTGTATATTTAACATAATTATGATCTCAAAAGCCCTTTTCGGGGGGTTCTGTTCTATGGGGGCTAGGTGAAATAATGGGCCGATTTTAACCATTTTCAATAGGCTTCGTCCTTGAGTCAAATAAAACGTGAGTGCCAAATTTCATCCAATTATCTTGAAAATTGCGACCTGTACCTTGCGCACAAGGTTTACATGGACAGCCAGCCAGACGGACGGACATAGCTTAATCGACTCAGAAAATTCTATTCTATTCTATGCCGATTGGTATACTTTAAGGTGGGTCTAGGACGAATATTTTTGTATGTTACAAACATAAGCACAAACCCAATATACCCTCCCCACTAAAGTGGTGTAGCAATACTGCTTTGCTAGCATATCCGGAAATGGATTCAGAGATAGCACATACGGTAGAGAATTATTAGCAACGTACGCAGGTGTCAAACATTTTAGATTCATGTTAGAAGGACGAAATTTCGCAATATATACGCATCACAAACCTCTTATATTCGCTTTTAAGCAGAAACCCGAACGTGCCAGCCCACGACAAATCCGTCATCTAGATTTTTTATCTCAATTTACAACAGATATAAGACATGTGCCCGGTTCTGAGAACGTAGTAACAGATTATTTGTCCAGATCAAGTGCGATCGAGTTAATTAACTACGAGAGTATGGCAGATAATCAAAATAACGATGAAGAATTGAAAGAAATTCTAAATGATCAAAAATCTACTCAACTAAAGCTTAGGCCCTCAATGAATCGAGACATTGCTCAAATGATACGAAAATGGGAACATTGCCAAAAGGC